ATCATAAAGAGCGTGATGAAATGGGTTTTTCCTCAAAATGCATGGAGTCATTCATCAAATTCATATACTTATTTATAACAAAGGGCAGACGTTTTGATAGTTATTATTAGCCCTTTAGCTGACTTCGGGCTTCACATAGCGAAGGAATATCAAGTAGCAGAAAGTCGAGGGGAGGGGACCAGATGAGTGATTCAAAGACGTTAAAAAGATAGGCAGAAACAAATGCAGGGAAAGGTTCAGATGAGTACTGCGGAAGTATTCGAATATGAGATACAGTGGGGTCATGGTAGTTTGAAGTTGGATGTCAACTGCCAGTTAGTAGATATGTTAGCCGTATGAGTATACGTTGGCCAGGGTGCACCACGTAGAGGCAAGTCTATCGCATACCCCTTCTTTAGAGTCGTTGTTTATACTAATTTGACAGGGCTCTCGCTTTTAGTAAAAAAACAATAGAATTAAAATCATGCCTTTTTTAGACATTTATTCGATGGTTAACATGGTAAAATGGAAGTGTATACTTTGGCCATATTCACTGGAAAGTTGAGGACTAATCCTCTGATCTGGAAACTGACTACCAAATTCAGAAATTATTTATTGTGAGTTGAAATCGCAAAGATTTACATTTCATAGTAAACGATTCCAACCCACCACATTTTCTCACCATCATTTTGTCATTTCATATTATCATTTTCCCATTGGTTATGTAACAATGGCAAATGCGTTGAAATTGAAAGTGGCCAAATGCATTAATTAGTTGAGTAAAATTCGGAGAAAACCTCGTAAATTTACCTCTCCAGATTTTTTATGCAGATAGCCTCCTTCAATTTGTTCAGTAGAAATTAATGTTGGAAGTATATGAACTTGGGATATTCTTTTTAAATACAAATGCACATAACACCTCCAATTGTACCAACATAGTGTATAACCATATCCAAAACATACAGGTGATTGATTTTTACTATAGTTTGGGGGGAGGGAGGGAACTGTTTATTATGGAGGATAGACAGTGAAATTCATTGAACACTCAGATAAATTCTCCCAAATCGAGTACTTTTAATAGGTTATAAGAACCGTCTGGATCATGATAATTTCATTAGGAGTGAAAATCGATTGGACATAAAAGGCATCTTCATTTCATTGTTAAGATGATAAATTTGATCGATCAATTTTCTGAGTCAATGGTCTTGGAGATGTTGAACTTCCTTATTCCCAATATTCGATCAACTTAAACCACTATCCAAGTGCACATCATATCACTTGATGTGTTCAAAGACACGAGACTGCATAAACAATGGAAATATAGAAGTCCGGACTAGTTCATTAATTTTTAAGAATTTTCTTCGTTTAGCAAAACTTTATAAAGTGGAGGTTAAAAAGGTGAAAAGTCTACCTCAGGAACAAATAATTTTCATGAATTCTACTGAACTGCTTTTTGTCACTCAAGCATTCTGTCAAACCCTTTCAAAAATACGAGCTTCTTAAGACTTAGGCAATTAAGTAGTTAGTACATGATCATTTTTATTAAAAGGTCACGTTTGGCAACAAGAAAGATGAAATTAATTGCACATAAGTCAAAACAAAAAACAAACTTGACAACTTTCTTCATGAGAAAGCATCTAAAACAAAAGGAGGAGGAAAGAGGGAAGAAAGTTGTTCAATATGGTGAGAAATTCATTTCCTTTCTCAACTCCATTTTTTGCAATCGATGAGCAGTGTTCCCTAGATTACGTCCCAAGGTTTCAGGACTTTAAATTTCATTAAGTGCGCCCTTCATTTCTGTATTCAAGGTCACTGTGCTCGATACCTATTGACTAGTTGACCGAATTGAGGGAGTTTCATGCAGTTAAAATAAAGTTTATTTATTTATTTCAAATGGCAGGCATTTTGATAGTTATCATTAGCCCTTTAGTTGACTTCGGGCTTCACAGAAGGGAGGAACATTAAAGTGAGAAAAATTCGACCGGGGAAAAGAAGAACGATTCACAGGTGTAAAAGAGACAGACAGACACAAAGGCAGAGAAAAGGCTAAATGAGTCGAATATGACATACAGTGGGGTCATGGTAGTTTGAAGTGAGAAGTCAACTGCCAGTTAATAGACTTTTTGCCGTATGAATATACGTTGCCCAGGGTGTACCACGGGGAGTAAAGTACATCGCACACCCCATTAACAATACAATAAATTTTGCTATTCATGAAAGATATCTTTGGTGTTATAATGACAGAACAATTGCATTAATAATAGTATGCAAAATTCAGTTTTCATGAGTATATGAGGAATATTGCTTTTCAGCAATATAAAAGAAAAGAAAATATTACCTCATTTCTAATGACATTTTATGGCTTCGGAAAATCTAAACGCTTTGTTTAAACAAAATAAACCTGATATTTTGATAATTTAATATAATCTGCACAAATGAACGAAATGTTAATGCTCACTCCATAATTTATCATGAAGATATTGACTGAAGTTTATTCGCTTTTTATAAGATGTGATTAGGAAAGATGTTACAAAATATTATTGCCAAAGAAAAGACGCTCAGAAAATAAGCAGATTTTTTTCCAAAATAGTAAATTTTAAAATAGGAACATAATCCTACCAAGCTTAGAATAAATCATTCGAAACTTCGTTTTGGTTTTTGAAGGATATATAACTATGAGTATATTGAAATGGCACTGCAGGTTAAATCAATTAAGTGTGTATTAAATGTTCTAATTCAGACCTAATATTATATTCAGTTGTGACTTTTTGAATTCTTTCAATAATTTTGTTTAATTATATCAAATAAATCGACCTACGCCAGTCTTTTATTGAATATTTTGGGCGTTATCTTGATTTCATGGTTTATCGTGCTATAACTTCGCTAATATAATATTTTAAAAAGCATGAATAAAGTTATTCCAAATATTACTACGTCTACTGGAAATCCTTATATTATTCCGAAAGAATCTTCTAGCAATATGACATCTGAGACTGCAAGTGAAAAATCAGAATCTAATATATCTTTCAAAAGCAAACGTTTTGAAAGTGATGTCTCAGAAAAGGAAAATCAAGTCAAACAGGACAATTCAATCAATGCTTCTGGAAAATTGTCACTTCAATTTAAGACTAGTGTCAATGTCGGTTTCTCGAAAATTCCCAAACAACTTTACAGAAAAGCAATTCAGCGTGGATTTACCTTTAATATTATGCTCATTGGTGTTACCGGTCTTGGAAAATCCACTTTTCTGAATACATTATTTATGACAGATATATACAATGATGAATATCCTGTAAGTCGACATGTTCATGAAAATTGGTCTAATTTTTCCTAAAAATGTTATTCTCTACTCGCTATTCTAATCACCGATCCTCTCTTAATATTTCCTTGGCGAAAGCTAACTATTGCTTTCTTTCATTTTTTATAATTTGTGCTCAGAAATATTACATTTAGTGACTGTTATTTGCTTTTTTTATGGGAATATTTTACTGTTTTATTTAACAGCACTTTTGCATCTACATTACCAAATACTATCTCTTAAAGTTTTGGACTATTTAGTCTGAGTTCGTAATGGAATATAATGGTAAAAGGTTTTTAAAGGATGATCTTGTTAATTGCCATAATCGATATGGCCGAATGAATATTTACTTTTATCGTATCAATTACTAGATTTCGTTTTTATTGCGTGTCGCACACATCCCTATTTTTGTCTAAAGAATTTCTCGTATCTTTTTATTTTTAATTCCAGTTAATATCAGATGCTGACATAAGGGCTTTGATTTCTTAATCCGCCTTTTTAATATCTTCATGAATCAATAATGATAATTAGGTTAGAAATCAGCCTTGATGTTCCTTATTCTTCACTAATTCAATAGTTGGAGGTAGATGCTATCACAAGTTAGATTATGGATTGTTTTTTTTTCAATTGGAATGTTTGTCAGCCTCTTTGTAAAAGAGTTTTTTTTGACAGAGTGATAAGTGGTAACAGCACACTAAGGATTTTATTTGTGAAAGCATAGAAAGGCCAGAGGTTATTGTTCAGTTATTTATAAGATTTGGAATGAATCTCAAAAGAACATTTTAATACAGAACATCTGTATGAAATTCTCGATGTTTATTCAGTTAAACGAAAATAAGGTATTAATTTCCATTCCACATTGACTCATTTCTCAAAGTCTCATATGCAGGTCTAGTAAACAGTTGAATTTGCGTTGTTGACTGTCTGATTTATTTAATGCACTTGTTCACGCTGATTCCACAGATTTACCCCCTCTAGAAGCCAATAAAGGTGATTATTTTTGCTAGCTTAAATGTTCACCTGAGTTACTGTCTAACAGGTGAGACTAATAGATTAGGTCCTCTCGGTTGTAGACTTGTACAAATTGCGAATGAATCATATGTAGAAAGTTATTTATTTATTTATATCAAATGGCAGGCGTCTTGATGGTTATCATTAGCCCTTTAGTTGACTTCAGTCTTCACATAGGGGAAGGAACATCAAAGTGGGAAAAAAAGTCGAGAGGGGGGGGGGGGAACAGAAGAGTGCTTCAAAGACGAAGGTAGAAAAAGGTGAGGTGAGTACTGTGGAAGTAGTCGAATATGACATACAATGGGGTGAGGGTAGTTTGAAGTGAGAAGTCAACTGCCAGTTAATAGACTTTTTTGTCGTATGAATATACGTTGTCCAGGGTGCACCACGTGGAGGTAAGTCTATCGCACACCCCATATGTAGAAAGTTAATTCTTTTCACATTTTTTAAGCTGAATACTGCAAAATTCTGCTAATTAAACTTTATAATAGCGTTAGGATATGATGATTTCTTATTTCAGAACGCGATGTAGTACTGAACTTCTAAAATAGTCGAATAATTTATGTGAAACGGTTATTTCTTAATTGTCGGAGAACCACCTCCTTTTATTGCCAAATGAAAAAATGGCTACACTATATGTGCACTGTAATAAATTTTTGTGATAAATGGTCTCTGGTTGTTCTTTAAACTCCAATTCCTACATCTTCGTCTGTAGCAGTTACAGATTGTCAAAGGGCTCTCAATTAGTCGTGAGTAATAGATTTTGAACTGGTCCAAAACAAGGAAAATCATCTTAGCTACAGTAGCAATTCTAAAATTGTTAATCTATTTATTTATGTATTTATATCAAATGGCATGCCACTTGATGGTTATCATTAGCCCTTTAGTTGACTTCCGGCTTCACAGAGGGGAAGGAACATCAAATTGAACAAAAGGTCGAGAGGGGGAGGGGGGAGCAGAAGAGTGTTTCAAAGATGTTAAAGAGACAGACAGACACAAAGGTAGAAAAAAAGTGAGGTGAGTGCTGTGAAAAAAGTCGAATATGGCATAGAGTGAGGTGATGGTAGTTTGAAGGATGTCGAATATGACATACAGTGGGGTGATGGTAGTTTGAAGTTTCGAATATGACATACAGTGGGGTGATGGTAGTTTGAAGTGGAAGTAGACGAATATGACATACAGTGGGGTGATGGTAGTTTGAAGTCAACTGCCGGTTAATAGATTTTTTGCCGTATGGAAGTGATAAGTCAACTGCCGGTTAATAGACTTTTTTGCCGTATGAGTGGGTTGCCCAGGGTGCACCGCGTGGAGGTAAGTCTATCGCAACAACTGCCGGTTAATAGACTTTTTTGCCGTATGAGTATACGGTGCCCAGGGTGCACCACGTGGAGGTAAGTCTAAATATACATTGCCCAGGGTGCACCACGGAGGTAAGTCTATTGCACACCCCATGATACCTATCATAACGCCTGCCATTTGAAAGTACGTTGTCCAGGGTGCACCACGTGGAGGTAAGTCTATCGTATTCTTAAGAATAATTGTTTAGAAAACCAGCAAGGGTTGAAAGTTGCCCAGGGTGCACCACGTGGAGGTAAGTCTATCGCACGCTGTCCAGGGTGCACCACGTGGAGGTAAGTCTATCGCACACACCCCTCCGCTTCCAAATAAGATGTTGATAGTGAAGGCATATTTCCAGGGTGCACCACGTGGAGGTAAGTCTATCGCACACCCACTTGGCTCTCCCCTCAAATTTCAACCCTACACGGATGGGCGTTGTTAATCTAGAGTCGCACTCATTCCAAAATCCCTTTTTATTATCACTCCAAGTTGAGATTAACTCAATGCTTAAATTGTGAGTAATAGAACATAACATGTGTATTTTCTCTTATCCCATCTGAAGGGTCCTTCCACACGTTATCACAAAGAGAATTCTGCCACCTCTTCAGTGGCCTCTCAGACCTTCCATATCACTGAATCCGACGTTCACCTTCGTCTCACAGTCATCGATGCCCCTGGTTACGGGGAAGCCCTCGATAATTCAGCTTGTTGGCGTCTTTTGGTTGAGGAGATCAATCTTCGAAATGCTGCTTTCATGGAGGCGGAATCGAAAGTGGAGAGGAAGACATTTGGTGGTGGTAGTGGGATTCTAGGAGTTATGCCTGATGATCTTGTCCACGCCTGCTTTTACTTCCTGTCTCCAACTGGACATGGCGTTAGACAAATGGATTTGGAAGCAATGAGGGCTCTGCACGATAAAGTGAGTCTGGGTTTTTTAAAGTTGCACTTATCTTTCAATAGGGTTGCTATTAAATCGTTTCTTGTTTGATTGTTTTTTCCTATCTAATTCAACTTAACTTATAATAATCTTTTAATTACTTTTTGGGGTTATCGATTTGAAGCTATTTGCCAGTTTCGTCTTTAATATAAATTGTGCCTTTATCGAGTTAGAACTTCATTCTTTATTCGAGAAAGTGCCAAGAATAGCTGTTGATCAAGAATAGTAAAGTCGGGACATTTAATCAGGTTTGATATGTATTTATTTATTTCAAATGGCAGGCGGTTTAATAGCTATAATTAGCCCCTTAGCTGACTTCGGGATTCCCAGAGTGGTGAAATATTTATTTATATCAAATGGCGGGCATTTTAATAGTTATCATTAGCCTTTAGCTGACTTCAGGCTTCACAGTGGGGAAGGAACATCAAAGTGATAAAAGTCGAGAGAGGGGGTGGAGGAAAAGAAGGGCGTTTCAAAGATGTAAATGAGACAGACACAAAGGTAGAAAAAGGTGAAGTGAGTACTGTGAAAATGATCGAATATGACATGGAGTCAGGTCATGATAGTTTGAAGGGAGAAGTCAACTGCCGATTAATAGACCTTTTCGCCGTATGAGTATACGTTGCCCAGGGTGCACCACGTGGAGGTAGGTCTATCGCACACCCCGGTTGTATCTGGGACAATTATTTCCATTTTCTCTTTGCATAAGAATAATTGCGGTAATTACTACACTAAATGCGAAAATACTGCGAACAAGATGAATGTTACATTCAGAAGCTCATAAGTTGACTCATAAACCCATCTTACCTAGAACATCGTGCTTCTTCGCCTTGAGTCTAGGGGTCATTTTGATGTTTCTATCCTTAATGAGCTTAGAGCTCCACCCTTAGATCAGGTCCCTTCCAATAAGCTTCCTCAAAGGTCACGTTTGCCTAATTTTTCCACTTTTCATTAAGCAACAATCGGAAATAAATTTGTGTGTGTGTGTGTGTGTGTGTGTTTTAAGGACTATTGAAAAACCTAGTCCTAGAGGGGGAACGAATCTTATACACCTAGTATCCGTTTCAATTAGTATCTAGAGGTACGTAATTTAGTTCCGTATGGAATGCTTAAGAGTGGACAGCTTATTTTTCATCCAGTCCTTTGTTAATTCATAAGTCTTGTTAGAAACCCTTTTTCGGACGCTTACCATGAACTAGGAGCCAGCGTTAGTTAACTACATTGGTAAGAAACTGGAATAATGCCGTTATTTATTAGTTACTCATAACTA